ATTTTAAATTTTATTCTTGTTAATTTTATATTTAGATAATAAATTTAAATAAATATTTTAATAAATTTGATATTTAAATAAATAATACTTATTTAAATATATTCGAATTTAAATAATGATACTAAATTTAAATAAATATTTAAATAAATTTAAATATTATAAATATTAAATAGATACGAATATTTTAAAAATAACATATATTTATTCTATTATCAACCTTCATCATGTTAAAATTAATCTCACCATTTTATTTAAATTGATTATAAATAATCAACTAAAATAAAAAAAAATTAAGATTAAAATAACAAAGAATACTTCCTCCACTAAGAGGACACGTGTCCTATCTGGAAAAACAAAGGCCAAAGAGAGATTTGGCTAGTGTCAAACTCAGGGATGATTTACACGTGTCCGACAAGGAACATGTGTCACGAAGAATTTGCTGTGTTTCAACTTAGTTAAACGCAATACTATTCAAATGTCCAACAGATTTGTTGGTGTGGGACCCGCTTTGAAATTTGTATGAAACTGACGTGGCTAGCTGACGCGTTTAATTAATCAAATCTTAAATGACGATCTGTGAAGCTGCGCTGGAATGAAGTTTAGATGGAAAATAGTCCAATAGAAGCATGCCACGTGTGAAAATGACTAATAAAAACTAATTAATTGCCCTCTTTTTTATTTTAATACAATTAGAAATAATGTAGCACTTTTTTTCCTTCTTTTTTTTTTTTTGGATTTTTACAAACTTTGATGTTTCGGTCATTGAATTAAATCATGGTCTCTCTCGGGAAAAAAAAAAGGATTATTTTGATTTCTCATCATCAAATAAGTTTTGAATCAAAATTATGATTTTAAATGATATATCAATACTCATAAATTATTTAATTTTAATTTAAATAAAATTTAAATTTAATTTAATTATTGTTGAACTGATTTTAAGGTCAAGTAGTTTGATTTGTTGTGTAAGTTAAGTTTGAGTATCTAAAACATTGATTCGAATAACTCATAAATCTAATCAAATTTTTATATTTAAATATATTTTAATTACAAAACTATTATTTTATTTTTATATTTATTAATTCGAACTTAAGTTCAAATATAAATAATTGATTTTGAACTCGAGTATGAGAATTAAGTTTTTTAATTCAATAAATGAGTTTAATCAAATTAATTTGAATAATTCAATTTTTATCTATAGTCAAATTTAAACTTAAATATTAAAATTTAAGAATTTGACACGAGTTTCAAATAACGAATTTCAAATTGAATTCTCACTCAAACTTTTTGCTATATTGATTAGACCAAATATATGGTAAAATCATGTTTACTGATGATTTATGTTCTCAAATAACTAGGAAAGACAATGCATCAATTTAAGGACAGTTAAAATATTATTTTTAAAAAATTATATTTAATAATATTATTTTCATCAAATTAAAAAATTAATACATTAATTATAATAATTTTTTTCTTAAATGTCATCTTTGAGGGAAACTATTTACTTTTTAAAAGTATTTGAGGAAATTATGAATGAATGTAAATCATATCATATATATTATTATAGTACAATATATATTATTAGAAAATTTAAGAAAACAAAAATAATAAAAAAAATATGATTTTAAGGTGTGAAAAATATTATCTTAAAGGTAATTATGCCTATAGGATACAACAAAGCCTAAAAAACTCTTTAAATCAGAAGTAGTGAAATTAGTCAAGTAAAAATATTTATTTATAACAAATGAACAGTCACCTATTAAGCTAATTTAAAAAGTTATGACATTTTGTATAATCATTTTTTCTTGTTTAAATAAATTTTATTTAAACAGTCATGTTTTTTCTGTTCAAAACATATTTATTCAGAATTGGTAATAGTTTGAAATAAACAAATAAAAAAATTAAAAGATTTAAAAATTAAATCTATTTGCCAAACAAGCTCAAGTTTTCTAAGTGCTAAAGTGCCTATCTTTTGACTTTTAAAATTATCTGACTCATTAAAAAACTTCTAGTAAGTCGAAATGACTTGACTTACTCTAACACTTAGCTTAATTAGTTAATTAACATAAGTAATCTCTTTTAAATCATATATAAATTATCTTTCTATTCAATATGAGATACACAATATTTTAAACTACCAACATAAACAATTGATAAAATTTGTCAAATGAATGCTTCTATGGACAACTTATTTAGATGACATATAAGATAGTTTTTTAAAGTATATCTTCTTTTAATTACAAATTGGATAATCTTGATTTTATTTAAATATTTATAATTGTAATTCAAATTAATTTAGAGGTATGTTTTTTAAAAATAAAAAATATGAATTTTATCTGAATAATTTTAATTTTTTATTAGATAACCTTATTTTATAAATTATTTAATTATGAAAATCTTTCAACATGTTTTAAAACTATAAAAAATAGATTTATTTGAATATTTCAAAAACTCACTATTCTTTTATCTTAATTTGTATCATACTAAATTATCTTTTAAAAAATTTACATAAAATATTAAAAATTCAAATAATTTTTTTATATTAGACCTTTAAATAATAAGACCAATATCCCTCTCAACTCTAACTATCAATTTTATATTTAAAAAATAAGCCAAAATTTTGATTTAATTTTTATTACTTATCATATTCTTTTAATTTTTTTAAAATATTAATTTGAAACTTATTTATTCAATCTTAAATATCATAAAAGAGTTATTCTACAAATTAAAAACTATAAACATAATATGTTATATCCTTTTTTATTTTTTTATTTGTAGCTTTTTAAAATTCTATTGCTATTACAATTTATTTTTTTAGTTTGCACTTTTTTTTTCAGGATATATTCTATTACTATTGCAAGTTTGTTATTATAAAAATTAATATTTTTTAAATTTATTTTTCTTTTTTTTTTCCACGCATCTTATAACATTTTTTTATATTTTACTAAGTAATTTTAATAATGTTACAAAAATAAAAATATGTCTATTTTTTATTATTTAATTCATTATTTGGTAATATATATGTTTTTATTCTTTTAAGAAAAACATGTAATTTATTTTTATTTGATATAAATTTTAAATGTATAAATATTATTGTAAATAAAAATGAAAAAAATGAAGACATGTCATTTTCTTCTTACTTTAGAAAAAAAATTATTTTTTATGATAAGTTAGTGAGATATAAAATTTTTTATATGATAAATTTTGAAATTTTGAATTTAATTAAAAAATACTAATTTATATGTATATACATATGAAATATATAAAATTATTTTATGTATCACATAAGTCACAATCTAGTATAATATAAAGCATATCACTTATAATTTTTTTATTACAATATTATAAATATCCAATTACGATGAAAAATTATATAAAAGTTTACCATTTATAAGTGTAGGATTTACATAAAATATTGATGGACGCCTCATAATTTTAAATTATGATTGTTTAATTAGATTATAATTATTGTAAGTAAAATGCTCTCGTATAATAGTAAATGATAATATGATTAGGACAACATAAATTTTATCAGTGTCTAATTATTTTTGGACAACTTTGAACACATATCATTTATACATTCATAATTTTACTTAAATTATATAGTTATGATTAAGACATATAAAAATAAGTTGTAATAGTTTTTCATTTGGTAAAATAAAAAATTAAGTAATTTGATAAAAAATATATAATTAAAAATATATAGTAAATGCCGCTTTTCATTATAGAATAACAAATAAAAGTAAAAATAAAAATTTAATAATATTATTTTTTATTATGTGAAATAATAAATTTAGTAATTTGATAAGAAAATATGTGAAAGTAATAGGATTTCTAAGACTACTTTTTATTTTTTTTGGGAGGAAATGAAATTTGTGCTAAACTCTCACACCAAGATGGCGAGATAGGTGCATTAATTGTGGAACCAAATGCTCATAATATTACTTTTTTAGTATTTAATGCATCTTCTTTAGAAATTAAGTAAATTTGATGACAAATAAGTGCAAAGATTAAAAAAAAATTACTGTTAATATGTAATTTGATCCCTAAATTATATCATTTTTCATAACGTCATACTTGGAAAAATTTATAATTTAATATCTTAATTTTTATTCTATCATATCATTTATTTTAAACATCAACTTCATTAATAATATGTTTAGGTAACAAAAAATTAATAAATAAAAACATAAGACATGGTGCATTTTATTGTCAAATATTTATCACATCATCATTTTTTGTAATACTATTAATTAATGATGCAAAATATATCACGAAAGTAAAGTTAAGATATCAAATAGTAAATTTATTTTTTATAAATGTTAAATTATAAAAACATATATATTTCAGTAATCAATTTATACATTAATCAAAAAAATATAATATAAAATATTATTACACAACATAAAAAATGAATTATTTTAATAAAAATAAAATGTAGTAGAAATAACATGATGTGATATTCTAATTGGTAGAACTATTTTGAAATAAAAAAAAAAAAACTTATATTTGATAACTAACTGAATGAATAAATAACAACAATTACTAAAAAAAAACATTTTTATCAAAATTTTCTCACAATGAAATTTAGGTGCTCATAAAAAGAAAGGAAAAGATATTTAAGTATTTTCGATTAAAATTTTAATTAATTTCATTATCAAATTAAATTAATTAAAATCCAAAATTCTTTCAAAATTATTTTTATTATTCAATCGAATAATTAAATTAAATCGATATTAAAATACATTTATTATCCTTTCCCTTTTTTCCACCTATAGATTCAACATAAACCTCCAAGATATGTCGAGTTAGTTGTAGAATCAAATATCACAGGCACACTTTTATCCTTGTTCCAACCAATAAAATGATTCCACGTCACAAAAGCAGACATAACAGCTCCTAGTTGCACAAACTCTCCATCCTACGCTACAACAGAATCTAAAGAAAAAGCCAAAGAAAAAGAAAATCTCAAGGCCACAAGAACTTGTGGCTGAAAATCAAACCATGGAGCTGACGTGGCACCCACCTCTCATATAAACGGATCAAAAACATCAACGATACCAACACAACATTTCCAACACTTCGTTTCCAATGCCAACAAAGAAAGAAAACCTCTCTCTCTCTTAAGTAATTTCTAAAAAAAAAAAAAAAACCCTACGAATTGTCTCGCGCGTTTTTTCATTTACTTGGTTTTTTGTTTGGTTGTTGAGAAAATGCAAGAAAGTAAAGACGCTGGGATCAAGTTGTTTGGTAAGAAGATTCGTTTAACTGCTGATGAGGAGATTTCAACCATCTCTGTTTATGACTTTGACAAGACAAAGTCTGGGAACAGAGTAGTTGTAGTAGTAGATGAAGAAATGGAAGAAGAGGAACAGAAAGAGAAAACAGAGCAGGTGGGTGAATTCGATAAGATTTTATTTTATTTTTTGTAGATTTAAGGATTACCCAGTTCTTGAAATGGTGAAAATATTAGTGGGTCAATTTTACTTTGTGTTTTTACTTTTTTTCTTAAATTTTACAATTTGAATCGTACTTGCTTTGCTAGAACTAGCTTTTTTCTATTCATTTTTTTCTACTCTTTGAAGTTCTTTAACCAAAAAAAAAAAAAAACTATTTGGAGTTTTTGAATTTCTTGTGGTTGGGTATTTTGAATTTCTTGAAGTTTTTGCTGTTTGGAGATTGAAAAAGAGGGAAAAAAAAAGGTTGAGAAAGAAAAGAGAAATATCTCCACTTACTTGTGGCTCAGGGCAATGTTTGACACCATTAAATTTTCAGGACAGAAGACTAAAAATCTCAATTACTATTCTTTGTTTGACTACCAATTACAGCAAAATTTTCACACTCAAGTTTTCTTTGTTTATAATATTATCAAAACTTCTCTTAATCGATTAATTGACTTTTATATGCTTCATTTTAACAGCCAAAAAAAAAAAAAGTTTTTTGAGCTCTGCCTATTGATCTCCAACCTTTTACTTACCCAACAAAAGATTGAAAATTGATGAGTTAGAACCAAAATCTTTGCCTAAAACTTGTGTGTGTTTGCCTTTTTTTTTTTAAAAGTATAACCAGCAAATTTTTTGATCTTTGATATACTTACTTTCCAGTCACAATCGGCTTATGCTTAGATCATTATTCATTTTTCTTGGACAGGATCGAGCTTAATCTGATTTACCTATGTTCTTGTCCGGGGTTCATTCTGCTAGAATTCTGAAGTCCTCCTTCTGCCAAATGTCTGTTTTTACTTTTGTTTTTTGTCTATTCTTTTCTCACAAGGCCTTTTGGTTTGGCGCTGGTTAGCCAATCAATATCTTCCAGGCTCCACAGCTACAGATCCTTTAACTTTGAAAGTCTACCCTGCTAGGTTTTCAATCTTGACTTTTTAAATCCTTGTTAGGATTGTTTTTTTGTTAAAAATCATGATAATTTGTAGCTTTGTAGTGACTGAATTGTCCATTTTTCTAGAAACTTCATGGAATATTTGTTGTTAATATATATGGCCTTGATTATATCAATGAAACGTTTAACATTTATATAAAAACCATGTGATTGAGAAAGATAAATTATTAACTTGTTAAAAAGGAGTGGGGGATGTTCTTAGAATCCTCAACATAGGCTACTTGTTTGTTTCCTTAGAAAATTCTATATTTTTCTTGGTTCTTTCTGAGATAGGATCATATAGCTAAAATTTCTTATTGGAAAATCATATTAAATTTCAGGATTCTTTAGCGGAAAAGACCTCTGATACCAGACAAGAAGATGACATTCCTCCGAATCGAGAGGAGTCAACAAATCCTGAAACCTCACTGGAGTCTAACGTGAACCCCAAAACTCCCTCCATTGATGAAGAAACTGGAAAATCAAAGACGGGCAAGGCTGATAAAGAACAAAGTGATGCTACCAAGCTACAAGAGAAAACACTTAAAAAGCCAGATAAAATACTTCCATGCCCCCGCTGCAATAGCATGGATACAAAGTTCTGTTATTACAATAATTACAACATCAATCAACCTCGCCATTTCTGCAAAGCCTGTCAAAGATACTGGACTGCAGGTGGTACCATGAGGAATGTGCCAGTGGGAGCTGGGCGCCGCAAGAATAAGAACTCTACCTCACATTATCGTCACATCTCTATCTCTGAGGCTCTTCAAGCAGCTCGAATTGATGCTCCTAATGGAGCACTTCACCCTGCATTAAAAAGCAATGGCAGAGTACTTAGCTTTGGCCTAGATGCACCCATTTGTGATTCCATGGCTTCTGTCTTAAACCTTGGGGAGAAAAAGGTTCTGAATGGTACCCGAAATGGATTTCATGGTCTTGAAGAACACAAAATTTCAGTTCCATGCAGAGGGGAAAATGGTGATGATTGCTCAAGTGGATCTTCTATCACAGTTTCAAACTCAAATGAGGAAGGAGGTAGAAGTTGCGTTCAAGAAACAATAATGGGGAATATTAATGGCTTCCCTTCCCCAATTCCTTGTTTAGCTGGTGTTCCTTGGCCATATCCATGGAATTCTGCAGTGCCTCCACCTGCTTTTTGTCCATCGGGATTTCCTATGTCATTCTATCCTGCTGCAGCTTATTGGAACTGTGGTATTCCAGGCACTTGGAACGTTCCTTGGTTGTCTCCCCAGTATTCTACTTCTTCAAACCAGAAGGCTCCATCCTGCAGTCCAAATTCTCCAACACTGGGGAAACATTCAAGGGAAGGGGACATAGTTAAACTCGATGATTCAGAAAGAGAAAAGCCATCCAAACAGAAGAATGGATGCGTTTTGGTTCCCAAAACTTTAAGGATTGATGATCCAAGTGAAGCCGCAAAGAGTTCCATATGGGCGACACTTGGGATTAAGAATGAATCACTTAGTAGGGGAGTGCTTTTCAAGGCCCTCCAACCAAAGAGTGATGAAAAGAATCATATAGCTGAAGCATCACCAGTATTGAGAGCAAACCCTGCAGCCTTGTCTAGATCTCTCAACTTCCATGAGAACTCTTGAACTGGTGGCGTGCTAGGTGCTTGATATAGGCCAGAAAAACTTTGAACCACTTACCAGATCAGTTCGATAACAAGCTTGCTAAAGATAAAGAGTTAGACAGCTAATTCAGATGAAGACAGAGGAGGGTTTAATGCTCTTTTTTTTTTTTTTCTCAGTAGGATGAGAGAAGCTCGGGGAAACTAATTCTCTTCTTGTAACAATATAAACAGTAACAGGTGCCTTTTGTTTTTACTTAGCTTGCTCAGTTTGTATTCATGTACACATCTTTATATATGTAAGATATTGTGATGGAGTTGGAGAAAAATCTTTACATTTACCAAATTCTAGATGCACTGAACTAAATTTTCATACTGAAGCTGAAGTGTGGAAGTCTTTTTCCTCATTATCCATACTGCTTTCTATACTTCCCTTTGAGCCGATCGGTATTCCTTTCATCTATTGGAGCTGCTGAAAAGGGCATCTAGAGATGGAAGTAAGAGAAGGGACAGATTTATAATAGACAGTGAAGAGAGAAACAAGGAAATTTGTTCTAATGGAAGGATTCAAACTGCAGTTAATTGTGGCTGATGGTGCCAAAAGCTGAGCAACTGATAATAGCCATGCAACAAATACTGCTGAAGGGGACATTGGTGGGGACTATTGTGGATATTGTGCCTAGCAAAAATTGAATTACTTTTTAGGCCCTCCCTTCCGTTCCAGATAAGCTTGAATTTTTTTCAACAGGCGAAGCAGCTCTCCTTTTCACTTACTAATGGACCCAAAACAACTTGCACAAAAGGCAGAATGCTTAGATAAAGTTCCCTGATTTGTTTTTTTTCTCACATTCTTTTTATCTTCCATTTCCTTTTCTTTTCAAAATCCCCCTTTATACTTTGTGCAGTGTCAATAATTAATACAACCAACTTGAAATCTTGAACTATATAATTCCAGAATCTTAATAGTTTTGCAGAATGCAACTATGCTCCATTTTGATGCAGTGAGAAGCCAAATCAAATCGTATTCTATTTAGACTGATTGAAGATCAGTAGTTGATGATGAACTGCTGTTAATAGACTGATTGGTTGCTCTAACTAGTGACAAAAACACGGAACGCGTTTTTGCCACTGATAAAGAATGATACAAGAATTATGTCCACCCTTGAAATTTATTCATCTAATTTTCTTTTGGCAAGCACCTAATGGATACATCAAATCTGGTCCATCAGCAGGAAAAAAGGTTTAGATATTTTGTAGCAACCAGCAAATACAAGCCACATCTTGGTGTAGTAGATGAGTTGGTTATGGGACCCAAATCAACACTATGCCATGAATCCTTTTGGCATTCTCTGCTGCTTTTGCTTTCTTTCCTGGTTGCTCTTTTCTTTTTGTAGGAAAGCAATTGCCCAATTTTTTTCATCCATGTGCCATTAAGTGTTCTTTCCTGCTTGAATGACTGAAATCTCCCTCCTAACTGGCACCTAAAGTGGGCTGCTGGCACAGTTATGAATGAAATGAAAGGAACAAGAAGCGTGTTAGTTTTGGATATAGAGTTTAAGTGGCAAAGGTAAAACTACTTATTTGGATGACTTAAGTAGAGTATAAATTCAAGGCTACTTTCTTTCCTTAGGCACAACTATCAGCTTTGTGAACCTAAACCAACATGCCGAAAGCCGTCAACTGACAGAAAAGCCTATCAGATTTATTGTAAGCCAGCAACATTGTTAAGATTACACCTCATGGCATCAACAAGCATATCTAAAACTTGAAACCATGCAAGTGATTCTAATTATGGCAAAAATGTAACAGGTCGAAGTTCATCTCAGATGAAGTTCCTTAAATTTCTTATTAAAAATGATTAAATAAAAACTAAAATAAAAAATCAAAACCTATAAATTAAAAGATTTCGTTACATAAATCAGGTGTATAAAATTTTAAAAAAATTTGAAATTTTTTTAATAAATTTATATATATTTTAAGATAAATATTTTTAATAAAAATATTGATAGAATTTTTATTGTTAAATAAGAATTAATCAAATTTAAATTATAAATAATATTTTTTAGTAATTTTTTAACATAATATTGATCTTCATATTAAACTTTATCAATCTATCAATTTGAATTTTTTATTAAAGCTTTTATTAAATCATTTAAAAAAAAATCCTACAAACTTTAACTAAAAATCTTCCCATAAATTTTGTCTCGATGAATTCGAATTCATAAAAACTAGTCATATGACATGTATTAGGGGTATTTTATGATCTTTAAGAGTAAAATAGATATTTTATTTTAGATTGTGAATCACCAATTAAATGAGGGTAATTTTGTTGTTTTGACTCAAGCTAATGCATCAAATAAACCTTAAGTCTCAAAATCATATTAATTCGGATACCTCAACTTATCACTTGAAAGCACATAAAAATGTTAACTTGTTAAGAGTAAAATAAATTTTTTATTTTAAATTGTGAATCACCAATCAAATTAAATTAATTTTGTTATTTTGACTTAAGCTAATGCATCAAGTAGACTTAAAGTCTCGAAATCATATCAGTTCGAATACTTCAACTTATCACTTGAAAGTACATGAAAACGTTAACTTGTTATTTTTTCAATGACCTTAAAATTATGAGATCAAGTTAGATCAATATTATTAATTTTTAATACATTACTTCAGAATCGGATACCCTAACATAATTCTACCATCTTATAAGTATAAATAATCCCTTTTGTGCTTGGTCCATTCATTTAATTTCCTTATTTTTCATTTTTAGAGTATTAATTTAAATGTCGGAGAATAAATATAAAAATACCTTTGTTACTAATTGACCTATGACCTTATGATTTCAAGTTCTTGCTCTTGTCAAAACAGCTCGCACCAACAACACGGTTCAGCCCTCTGACTCCGCGTAGGTAAAACTTGTTTTCCATGGAAGGTCTTCCTGCTCTCCTAGTGGCTGAAAATGGATCCTATCGATATGGAATTAGTTTAATCTGACTTTAACCAGCAACTTTCCACTTCTTTTATGTTATCTGGGCATAGATGCAGTATGGCATGAACATTTATGACCAATTACTTTATGTTGACTTTAATATGAAAGTAAAACTCGAAATATTGGAACTCAGAGTCAACCTCCCACTACAACTTATCTCTTTAATCTGACTTTAATCTAGTGCTTTTTAATGTTGTTTAATCTATAAAGTGGATATACATAGGCAAAGTGATGATGTTAACAGCACATTTTTAAGCCATTTTCTCGCCAGAAACTGCTAATCGCAATGGAAACCTGTCTATCAAGAAAAAACCAACCTCCAAAAGCAGATAAAAAACGACCCCCTGATTTGGAGTTGAACCTGGAAAGAGGCCAGAAAACTTAACTTCATTGGTCAATTAAAAGCAATTGCACATTTGGGGATACAACAAAGTCAAAAAGCAAGCCTTTTCCAACAATAATTTCCATATGAAATTTAGGCTGCTTTTTTCAACCAAGAAAATGCACAATCATTTTTTCCATAACTATGGGTTTCGTGGGACACGTGTATGGCATTCAATAAAGGTTCCATTAAAGCATGACCATAGGGAAAATTCAGTTTTGTCGCTTATGTTTCTTTTTGTAACATTAGCGTGAAGAAGAAGTGCTTCAAAAACAGGGAAACAACTGTTTGTCGACACAAAAGAAAAAGCATTGGTAAGGAAGAAACTGTGGATGTGATTGAAGCTACCCTTTTCCAACAAAAAGAAAGAAAAAGAGGAAACAAACTTCTTGCCTTTCTTTTCCTTGTGAAAGTGGGAAGTGGGGACTCAGGACTTGGTAGAAAGTAGAGCATAAATCCTTCTGAGACAATGGTTTTATTATTCCTGCTATAGGTAATTGTAGATTTTTTGTTACGTTTAATGTCATCATGTTGCTTGGTCCGGGCTCCAAGTTTGGTTTGTGTTTTCATTTCCTTGGGAAGCAAAATTGACTCTAATCCCACTTGAAAGTATCCCCAAAAAGTCACGTGGTCTGATACAAAGAGAATTGAACTCTTAATTTCAATAATTAATATTTAATTTTGATAATCTTAAATATAAAAAAATTAATGCATAACCCCATAAAAAATTTGGGATTACGGAGTGAAATTTACTCTTTAAAATATTTTAGTACTTAGATTTTCTGGAGAAGAAAGTAAAATTTTCTTCAGAAGTTTGCTAGTTATATATAAAAATAAAAAAGAAAAATGAAAGTTGAGGGGAGAAACAAATTGAATTTCAGTAGGAGAAATTAAAACTTCTCTTAAACTTTTGATAATTACATAATACTAAGAAAAGGTTCTTTTAGCATTTCATTTTGGACCTCAAGCATCAATTTAATAGTACAATTATGCATCCCGGAATCAACACTATTAAAAGTTCCTGCATCAGACATTTGATTATTGAATTCTACAACCCCCTGAATCCTCCGCGTGACGAACATTGCCATAAGCTGAAAGTTCGATGAGATCCATGTCACGACCTAGAGTTCAATGAAACAATTGAAAGTCTCGAATTAGCAAATCCAGTATTCATCATATCAGAAAAAACCATTTATCCTACAAAAACTGCATTACCTGAAACTCGACAATAAGAACTTTTCTGAATAAGATCAGCTCTCGACAAGTCAGTCCGATTTCCCTTTGATCGATTAACAGTTGCCTAAAGTAATTGAGACAAAATCCATAACATCAGTTTCTCAATTCTTAAGGTTCTTGGACTGTGGACTAATAATTAGTCATGAAAAGAAAAAGTTACTAGCATTATGGAAGAAACTTGAAAAGAAAAAATTCTGACTAATTCAAAACTTTTCAATAATTAGAAGGAATACAGCCAGCATTACAACAGGTTTTCACTGCATCACAGGGGCGGAGCCAAGGGGGGCAAGCAGGGGCCACAGCCCTCCCAAAACTTTTTTACACCATGCTAGATCAGTAACTGAGCCTACCAAAACTAATATGCATCCCCTCTTCCCCTTTTCAATTCACTGTTTGGCCCCCCTTTTGGTTATTGTCTGGCTTCGCCTCTGCTGCATCAGCTGGTTCTGGAAATGAGGCATAGATACCAACAAGTAGGGATCAAAGAAGACTTAACTGCAAAAATTCAGAAGCTAAATACAGACTAGAATGTTTCTAATATACAAACAGCAATCTCTTCGAAGAACTGTCTCAATGAGGAAAAGAAGACTCATTTTGAACCCTCAAAGAGTTGGTCAACCCTAAAACACAATCCTTCGCTTGGATTTGCCATCATAGGCAGTGCACATGCAAGAATGTGTAGGCAATTGCCTTGATTAGAAAAACCTTGGGATTAAGCTTTATTTATATCCTTATTTCTAAATAATTTTCTTCAAAAAAAAATAAAGATTAACCCTACTAACAGAAAGAGTTTTCTTCTTTTTTTTTTTGTGAAAATAATAGAAAGAGTTTGTTATCACTTTATAAATGAAGAAAATATCAACACAATAAAGACTGGATTTTTTTATGGTACATAACGGATTACACTAAGCCTTAGACTACAAAATGGAAGGTAACACTCTTTCTCTCATCCTCTAATCCATGCACTTCCCAATGTTTGAACCTAAGGTCTCTAACTGGAAATCCCAAACTGATGACACATTGAAGACCTGGAGTAACTTTTTAAATAAAGAAAAGAGTCACTAGAGTAGCAACCCTTCTTTCAGTGTATTCCAACTCCTTCAAAGCAGTTTTTTGAACCACTGCACTTTCCAAGCAAGGCAAGCTTTTTTAGTTCCAGACCAAGCTACTTTCTTTTCTTTCTTTCTTTCTTTCCTTCTGCCCCAACCCCTTCTAAATTTCAGGATCCATACACTTATCTCAATTAGGAAATATATGACTGAATCAAAATTTCGTCTTATTGTATTTTACCATATTAATTACATTATTTTTTCATTAGTTGCTAAAACAAAATCAACCTTTGGTAACTGGTATTTAACTCAGTTTTACTAGTTGGTATTACAATTACAGAAATGAGATTTTCTGCAATGAAGATTGTCAAAAATTCTATAAACAGTTTGAACAAGGAAGAAGTGGATGAATAATTGCTTCATCTCTGTATTTTAAGAAAGAAATATGTAATAGAATTAACAATCAATAATAGAATCCAATCCTTTCAGTATCTGAAAACTCATCAAGGCCAATTGCAGCATTTATAAAATTCTTTCTTACCTAAATACTATATTTACAAAAATATTACAATTGTCATTTTTTTTGCCCCCACTATCTAAAGCTTTTGGCTTCACTGCTGATTGCTATCAGGACAAAAAAATGGCAATTTCAACTTGTCATGGCTACTCATGCCATGCAAACTTGACTGAGGTAGTTTCTTGAGGTAGAGGCAGGTAAAAAATATTTTCAAAAACATTTTGAAATATTTATATCAAAATACGTATATCTAATTGCAATACTTTAATGCATTTAGTTAAAAAGCTCCATTACCATGCTCAATTACGTAGTTAAAATCATCTTCGCACTAAGTTTTTTTTTTTATTTTTTTGGGGGGGGGGGTTTATAAAGGCTTTACTAAAGTATGGTAAATCCGGGTGGGCTACATGCAAGCCATCACATCTTTGGTACCCAGTTTAAGGGGAGGAAAATGGGTAGCCCTGAGATATAGAGGTAGCATCAAAGACTCTTTGGCCTCAAATTGAAATGTTCCTACAATTCATGTCAATAAAGTGTATTCAAGAGGCAAGTAGCTGCTAAACCTGTTAAACTAAAGTACAAGTATATACTACTTGGCTCTCTTAATACATGACAACATCAACAACCCTGAGCAGACTCATCTGAAATCAGCTGTACCCTATGACCTCGAGTCTTAGCCCGACACGTATCATTTCATTGCAAAAATAAATAAAATTTTTATTTTGGCAGGTTCCATAAAATTTTAAAACAGTACATTCGGAAAGGGGAAAAAAAAAAAAGATAAATGAAAACTTAAAATGCCATATGAGGGATAACCTCATACCTGTAAAACCTGACAGTTTTCCAGTGTGCTTTTTCCTCCCTGAAATTCATGAAAAGAATTCAAATCAAGAGTCAAGCAGCAGATCCAGAACAAAGATACTAGGGATTTCATGCATGTTACAAGAATTTAAAGACTTAGAACACAAGGAATTCAAAAGAAGAGGCAAATTCAGGACACTCTTTGAGACTTTGAATAGCAAAGAGAGTATTATTAGAAAGAGAAACAACAATTTATTTAGTATGCATTAATTGAACATTAGCCAAACAAACAATAGAAATGAAGGTCATGATACAAAAGGAAGCCATATATATGGAACGAAAAAGTTTCAATAACTGAAAAATGAAAGTAGAAAAAAGTTAATAGCTGGAAAGTGTCCATAGAAATACATGATGCTGTGCTCCTCTTAAAATATTAAACCTTTAGGTTATATGGCCTAAAAACTTGAGATTAGCCTCAGTTTCCACAAGGGCTCAGAAGGTCATCTGTTGGCAACCTATATCATTTTGTATATGCAAATCTAAAATTTGAAAATTTTAAATTTAATGAACACGCCCAGCTTAAGCATACACGTTTTGATCTGTGCTAGCCTAGGCAGACATTTCAAATGCTTCTATCCTCAAGACCCATCCACAACCATGAATTCGACCACCTTATCACCAACTTTTGATCTGCTTAATTATGAGAATCCTCTACACCATGTTTGCACTTCTAAATTTTCATATTTTTGCTACTTATCATGCCAGATTCCTTCCACCAGCTCATTCTCAACCCAAAAGAAACTGAATTTCTTTGCTTCCTGTACTGTAGAAATTGCTCTTCAAGCCTTGCTTTGGTCAGAGAAATTCAGAATATGATATTCTGCCAAAGGACTTCTATAGTGCTATAAAAAATTCCATTCAAAAACAGAAAAGAGGTGACCAGCTGAAGTAGAATTTTATCCTTCACTTTGAGGGAAATGATCAGCCATGGATTCACCTGCAGAACCTCAGCATGTATAGTGATGGAATTCTTTGCAACTGAGTAATCGCATACGCCATTGTAGTCTTATAATGAAGAAACAGAGCTATATTTTCACTTTAGAAATGGAGCAAACGATCAACATTAATCTTCAATCTCTCTTCCTCTCCTTACTGCTTTATATCCATTTTTTACTAGCAGGAAACCATTTTTCTGAAATATGTTCTACTCTATCATAAGGTGCATGACTTAAAATTATCCTAGAAATAACATTCTGCTGGAGCATTATCAAACAATTACCGATAATTTTAGTGGAAATGAAAGCTATGCTTCAAAGTTCAAACCGTGCAATAAAAAGTTAAAAACTTAGCACAATACAAATCAATAGCCATCTAAGTTTCAAAGTTAATACACATAGAATTATCTATTCTTAGGATTAGAAAATAATAACAAAAATTACCAAAATTAGAGCAATTACAAAAGGCACAGAGAAAAGCAGATAACAATACCCAGAAAACATAAACTAGAATTGAGAAATGAACCCAAAACAAAATCACAAAACCCTAAACCAAGCCAAACCCACGTCAAAAAAACTCCTCTAAACTACCCAGGAAAGAAAAAAACACAACTTTTCATAAGAGAAAAATTAAGGGGAAAAAGATAAAAGAAGTACCTTGGAGTAAGGGATGATGTGGTCATAGTCATGGCACAAGCAACCAGGACAACCAACGAGCTTCCTGAAAACAATGTTACCCAGCGCGTCTCGCCTCCAACGAACTGGGTCTCGTCCCTTGACCGTCTCTGCCTTTGCCCAACATTGTTGCTTGACGGTGTAAGGAAAGCTCCTGGGGTTAAAGGTGGAATCTTGTGAAATTTGGAGATCTTCAAAGAGACTGGTAATTGCGGGAGATGGTTCTTGGTCAGTCACCAGTTCAGCATCGACCAAAGAGGCTGATGGTGGAGTATGTTTTGATGAGCGTGAAGGAGGTGGAGAAGATGGGCGGGACCTTGACCGTCTCTTGCTCTTGGAGCCATTGCCTTCTATTATCATTTTCTTTTTCGGATTTTCTGGTTGTGAATTTGATTGGTCTTGACTTGTGCTTGGAGGGAAGGGATCTTTATTTAACTTGTTGGATATTTTCTTTGTCTAAAACACAAACCTTCATTTGCCAGACTTTTACAATTTATTTATTTGTTCTTTAAAAAAAAATTAAAAATATCTTGAAGCTACCATTTGCCATGCAAACAATTTTTTTTTTAATTCTTAATTTATCTATAATTTTTTATTTTATTATATATTTGATTGAAAAAAATATTATGTATTTATTTTTTTTTAATCTTTAATCTTTTAAATATTAATTTCAATATGTATCAATTTATCTAAGGGATAGTTGACAATAATTTTTTTAAACAAGGTTTATAAATAATAATTAAAATTTTAATAGATAAATTGACATGCTCAAAGATAATTAAGACAAAAATTTAAACTCTAATTAATATTTTATTAATTTATAATATATATAACTATAGTAAATCTATATATAACTTGAAATTTATAATTTTCATTTGGAGCTGCAATTTTACAACACATATCATTCAATAATTGGCTATTTAAATTTTTTTAATAATTTTATTTATAATATATTGTTAATTTATAAATTTTATTAATTATTTATAAATCATATCATGCCAATATTAATTTTGTCTCAACAAATTGAGGCTCGGCTGAATGAAAAGCTAAAAGTAGAGTGGAGTGTACAAAAGGAAGTCTAAAAATTTTTTTGAAGTGAATTGAATATTATAAAGTTTGAATTCGATTTAACTCATTACTTAGGCGACTTAAATTTGAGTTTAGCTCAATGATAGAACAACATCTATGTTTGACGAGTTTTAACCTTTCATAATTTGATAGTGTTGTAATTTTTATTTAAATTGAGGGTAGGGTTAGAGATGGTTCGAGTTTTTTTTTTTTAAATCAGGATCATATTGAAATCAGATTTTAAGTAATATCATCACGATTTTACTGTATATATATATAATATTTGTATTACTTATTTAATTTTATGTTTATTATTTAATATTTTAATTTAATAAAATATTATATTTATATATAATTAAGATATAATTTATATTAAAAATAATATTTTATAAATATTATATTAAATTAAAAATTTTAAATTAATTTCGAGTTTTGGATTAGATTAATTAAGATTTATAAATATACAGATTTAATCAAATTAAATATAAAAATAATATTTTAATACCAGATTAAAATTAAATATAATTATTAAAAGATCAAATTGAAGACAAGATGAGCAAAAACCTGATCTGACAGTACGGGTTGATATGATGATATCCCTAATAATGAACAAGCAAGACTTCTGAGTATTCATTAAAATGATTATAGAAGGGAGCTATGATTTCAAACCGTTGTCAACCGAAGATCAAAGGATACCAACTGAAGGTCAAAAGATAAGCAAAAATAATTTAGATTAGTCTATTTTTTACTTATTGTATTTATCATCTAATTATCTTTGTATTCAAATATGTTAGGTTTATCATCACATACAAACTGTAACCGTGCAATACAAAATGGCAATCCGTGCCTTCCTTCTTATTGATGTCCAAATTTGTTGTAATCTTTTGATGACTTTCTTAGGAAGACCGGCACGATACAGACTGTTAAATGGCACGTATTAGGGACACTAAAGTTGGTGTTCTGATGCACACTCCGATGTTAAAGTCAGCACTTAGAATAGATGGACAAGCAAAGTAAATAAATAAGTGTGTAAAGAGTGAAAGGAGAGTATATCATCGATAGTTATTATTGATTGAGTATTGAACTTTTAATTCTAATGATTAAGTTTAAATCTTGAAAATCTTTAAGTAAAATAGTACCTTTATTAGACAGAGAGGCAAAGTAAATGAATAAATGTGTAAAGAGTGAAAAGATAATACCTATCGGCCTTAATGGAGGCTTTTACTTTTATATACAAGGCATCTAAAGTAACAAGATTACTAAAATACACACATGCACGTAATAAATAAGGGATAAACCTCTTATATATTTCACATTTTTATTTTTTTTGTTTATACTTTTTTTGAATTTTTTTCATTTATAATTTTATGAGTCATTTTCATTATTATTAGTCGATAACGATATCAAAAATAAAAGTAAAAGTAATGTTATAATTTCATTAAAATCATATTGATTTTTTACATCGTTATTTTTTTTTTATTATCATAGTGATTTTTCATTCAGGAAACTTGATTGCTATATTTGATGAAAATTTATAAAATTATCACTAATCTTTTTTATAAAGTATGATTGGACACTTAAAATATCATCTTTTGTTGAAAATCATAAAATTAATTAAGATTTACTAAAAGATATTTTAATCTATAAAATTAGGATTAGATTTGAAAATACAATTGCGAGTAAAAAAATTATTAATACCCGTATATTATCCATTCAAATAACGATACAAATTAAACATGTTTTATCCTTTTAGTATTGATAATAGGGTCTTTTTGATATTGAAATTAATTTCCTAAAGTCTATTCATCAAAATTTTTATTTTATTTTTTATAAAATTTATTATTTAAAATATTATATAAATTCTCTAACACTTTGATAGAATTTACAAAAAATATCCTCGTTAAGAAAATTTAAAAAAATTAACCATTCACAAAATTTTCAAAAATTTCATCCAAAAGTGTTTTATTTACAAACAACATGTACGATTTAAAGTATTCTAAATTAATTTTGATTATTTTACTTTATTTTATTTTTACAAATTATTATAATTATTTATTTTTTACATGATTATCTAAATAAAACTCTCATTCGTAAAATTGATCTTAGGATTATTACAACTCTTTGGTAAAACTTAAAAAAAAATTCCTTGAAAATAATTAAGGAAAATAAGATATTTCCAATTTTCTTTAAAATTTTCTATTTAAGAGATTTATTTAAATAAACATTTTTATCTTTTATTTTTTATTTTTTATTTATTTTGAGCTATTTAAATAAATATTTATTATAAAAAAATAATTTTAGGATTATCTCAACTTTTTAACAAAATTCAAAAATATTTTTACTTGCAATAATTTAAAAAAAAAAAATACCTCTTTCAACTCTCTTTAAAAAATTACATTTTAAAAGATTTTCAAAAATATCTCCTTGAAAATAGTTAAGGAAAATAAGACTTTTCCTATTTCCTTTAAAATTTTCTATTTAAGATATTGATTTAAATAAACACTTTTATTATTTATTTTTATTTATTTTGAGCTATTTAAATAAATCTTTGTTTAGAAAAATAATTTTAAGATTATCCAAACTCTTTGATAACGTCTAAAAATATTTTTACTTTCAATAATTAAAAAAAATTGATCTCTTTTTGTCTTCTTAAAAAAATTATATTTTAAAATATTTATTTAAACAATTTACTATTTTTTAACTTGTTTATTTGTAAAATTTTTGTTATTTGCAAAAAACAATTTCTTAAATTATCCCAAGGTGATACTTAAAAAATATTTTTACTTATAAAAAGTAAAGAAAAAATAGAACTCTTTCCATTCTCCTTAATAATTATTTTTTTGGAATTTAACCACTGTTTATTTTTTAATTTTTGGTAACAATTAGGAGCATAAACGAATAAAGCTTTCAATAAATTGTTCATGAACATGTTGGATTTTTGTTCATCTATATTTGTTTATTAAGTTTAATAAATGATCTTGAATAATATTTTTATATTTATTTATTAAATGAATCGAATATGAACAGAGGTCTGTTTAGTTCATTTATATTCGTGAGTAAGCTAATTTAAAATTTGTTTAAAATTCATTTGTTTATTGTTTGTATGTTGTTTGTTTGCTATTTGTTTATAATAATACTAACAAAATTACAATTTTATCTTTCATTCTAATGTTATTTTAAAGTTTATTTATATTTGTTTGGGTTTGTTTATATTCGTTTAAAAATTGTTTGTTTAAATTTATTTAATTAAACTTTATTTATTGTTTATGAACATATTTATTTATATATGTTCGTAAATATATTTGTTTAATATTCACAAATAAATTTATTTAACTTAATTGAATTAAACACGAAACAAACATAAATTGAATGTGAATATCCTATTATTTAAACGAACCGAGCTTTAACGAATAGAGTAATTTTCTTATCGAATATAATTCAATCCAAATACCTCCACAAATAAATGAACAAATCACATACATACATTCGTTTATTCATATTTAATTCGTTTATAACCATAGTAACAATTGCTATCTAGTTTTAAATTTTGTATATATTTTCATTAAATTTATTATTCATAATAGCTATTTAAAATTTTTAATAATTATAAAAATAAAAATTAAAAAAATAAAATTAAATCAAATCAAAAAATTAAAAAAAAAAAACTTACAAATATGTTAGGTCTCATGCAAGTCAACATGCAAATCTAGCGCAAGTTGGGCGCGGGACAAAGATCTGCAAACGGCGTCGTTTTGAAGGGACTATAAAAGGGCCGAATTTTTTTTTTTTTCTTTTCACCCTTTGTCTCTTCCTTTAGCCTCACTCTCTAAATCCTCCTCCTTTCACCAATCGCCATGTTTACCCAGAGTCCGACTGACTATTGCCACGTAGTCGTGTGCTGGTATCTTCAAAATTTTTAAAATATTTCAGATTCCGACCAATATCTCAAATTCTGGTAGTAAAAAAATTCAAAGAAACCCAGATTCCAGCCATTTTAAAAGATTTAAAAAAATTCTCAAAAATCTCAAAATACTCTTTTCAATCTAGTAAACACTAATCTTCAAATGGTTTTCCAAAAAAAAAAAAAACCCAAAATCGAGGTTTTCATTTTTGATTTTTTTTTTATTACTGGTTCCTCGTAAGAAGATGTGGATAGAATTTCTGCTAGGCCTTTTTTTGGTTCTAGTTGTGTGTGTGATTTTAGGGTAGGCAGAATGGCAGTAGGGCTCTTCTGTCAAATGGTTTTTTTTTCTGTGAAAATTATTTTTATCTCTGTGTTCATTTTTTTTCTGTCTTAATTTGAAAGGAATTTATACAGTTGAATAGCAGCCAAATCCCAAAAAATTTGGGATCGAGGAACTTTTTTTCAAAAGCCACCGAAAGGTTTTTTTGCAAAGTTTGATCTTCTGTAAATTTGATTATGGCAAGGTGGCTAGTGGGGGTTGAAATTTCGGCTTCAAAGTCAGGCAAAGGACGTGACCGGAATTTGGTGTTTTTAATGTATTGGGACTTTGGGGCAGAAAGAAGAAAAATAGAACAAAGAAATAAAATAATAATAAATTAAAATAAAAGTAAAAATTTAATAAAATTTAAAACGATCTGATATGAAAATACTCTATACATTTAATTAAAGTGTTTCATCATATCCGAACAGAATTGAGAATCGGTTCATAATACCCGATTTTTAAGATAAAATAGGCATCTGTATTATAACGAAAGTGATCCGTAAGTAAAAAAAAATTATCACAAAAATATAAGTAAAAAAATCGTATATCACGAAAGTACATACGAAATTTATCCATAAATAAATAAATAATTATACCACAAGTATCAAGTCAATTTCTCGTGAACTTCAATGAATCCAACCGTAGAAAGAATAATAAAGTCTTGGGATTTATTATTAATTAATTCGAAAGTCCTGATAAAAAGTACTGCAATTCAAAAAAACAAAGCTAATATTTGAATTTGTTTTTCTGGGAAATGATCAAATATGAATGTCTCAATTGCTTGCGACATTCGAACAAAGACATTAGGTACTTGCGCGGAAAGTATATCATATAGTGTATGCAATTATAGTTAAACTCTTGGTCTCGCGTGAAATTTACAATAACTTTTAACAACTTACAACTTCCTTTGATGTTCCCCGAAACCCCAATTAAACAAGTCCTCATCCACAATGATTGTCCCTATGGGAAAGTGCTACTAAACCGTATTATATTATTTTCCTTTTTCATTTCCTTAATTTCCATAAATGATAATAATAAATTAATTTTATTTTATGCTTATAAACTTTATACATTGTCATTAAATCATAAATTATCACATCATTAAAAGCAAATTTTTAAAAAAATTAAAAATCTTAAAATGTAAATAATAAAAGTTGATTTTAATTTATTTTTAAGAAATTTTTTAATTTTCGAATTTACTTATTAATCATGTGATAATCTGTTAGTGACTTATAGTTTATACACAATCAATCTATTTTCTTTTGTTTTACTTGTCAAACACGTTGTGTTATGAAAAAAATTATAGTTTGGATCAATTGATAAGATTATTTGTCTCCATGTAAGTGGTCTTGATTTCAAACTTTATGCATAATGTAGTTGTTTAGTAAAGAAATGTATTAAAGCATACTGTCTCAGATGTGTTTCTGTTTTTTTTTTTTTTTTCTTTTTTTCTAAGTGCTATCCCTTTTTTTTAAATTCAATAATTTATACCAAATATAAAAGTTATCCCACACTTTTAATTTAAATCCAACTCAAAAAAAAAAAAAAGAATTCATTGGATGCCACGTGGTACTCAAATGAATAAAATTTATTGCAAGAATGTGGTTGTTTGCCGCTTGCGCCTGGAGGTAATTTAAGTTGGTACTGATAATTTCCTATTTTAATAACGCACAAGCTAATGACTAAGCTATTTTCCAATCTATTTGCATTTTCTTTGTTAATATTTTTGTTCATACCTTTAAATTCTTGAAACAATATTGATATTTTAAATTATTGCTTGGTCATCGTAAGGGTGTAATCGATTAAGTTCGAGTCGAGACAGTATTAAGTTCAAATTCGAATTTAATTCAAAATTCGTGACTCAAAACTTGGTTCGAACTCGCTCAAATTTTATTTTTTTAGTTTGAACTCAACTTAATATATAAATCGAGCTACTTGAGCTCACTTTATTAGACTCGATTAATATGTAAAAAAAAAGTTTGATTCTTATATTTGATAAAAATTCGATTATTTGTGCTTGAGTTTAAAGTTTGAGATATTTTATTAATTAAAATAATAAAAATATATTTAAATATAAAAAATTCGATTAAACTCGTAAATTATTCAAATCGAATATAAAAATGCTTGAACTCGTTAATCCATAAGTTGAGCTATTCGAATTCGAGTTCGATTCGATAATAATCGAGCCGAATTCGAATTTTATTTAAATCGAATCCGAATAACTTATGAGTAATAATATATCATTTATACCTCTAAGTCATCCTATTCAAAATTCACTATCTATACTTCTAAAAGAGAATTTCATGGTGCTTAGCTTTTTCATTTTATTTAGGCATAGTTATTGAGATTAGTTTTCCTTGATTCCTAATTACTGGAAACTTTATATATATAAAAGCTTCATGCATTTGTATATAAATGATGGGAATTTTAATAATACAAGCATTTTACTGGTTCTCTCGCCACCCATTGTTAGTGCTTCCTTTCGAGGCTAATTTCTTGAAACGAATAGGATTCTAGAATTGATGAAGATGCTAGGTGATCATCCCATGTTGCACTCCTTCTTCAGCATTAGTACTTTCCACGTTTTATTCTGATTTTTGCTAGTTGCATTTGTGTATCATGCAGCACTGAAACACCTTTTTTAAGTCCAAATCCATGAAACTTCATCCTTTCTGTCGTCATGCTCTAACAAAATTGGCTGATCTAGTTAGTGCTTATAGTGGATGAACATGCTTTGGGGAGATATCACAAAGTGGTAGTTTACTAAGGAATATCTCATTGGCAAAAAAAATAAAAAAGAAAAAAAAAAGAATTGAGTTGTATATTAATAACAATGTTCGTTTCTCTATCATTAATAATTGAGTCCATTCCTTTTGAACTTCACTAAGGAGGAGCAAAGTCAATGTAAGTTGTATATTCTTAATGAAGAGGGATCGATTTACTTCATGGTGTAAAATTAATTTAGATTTACACTTTTTCATAATTTTTTTTATATATTTTATATAATTTATATTTGTTTAATTCGTTCATTGTATCTCATACTCTAATCATATAATTTATGTATGATATATTTTGAATTAATTAAAAATGTTTAATTATTTTTATATAAAAAATTTCAATAATCAAATATATATTAAAAAAGACTATTTTTTAATATGACAGTGATATTAAAATGATATGAAATTTGACGTGGCATGTTGAGTACGATTATATTGCTAAATACAATGATCAGTTTGTTAAAATATTAATTATACATCTAGCTTTAAAAACATACAAAATTAAAAAGTTGCTTAATTTTACATTCTAAAAATATTTTTTAAAAAATTTATTTTTAAGAAAAATTAATACTTTCAATTTTTCATCGAAAATATTTTTTAAAAAATTTATTTTCAATGAAAATTGATAATTTTAACTTTTTCTCAAAAATATTTTTTTAAAATTTTATTTTAAAAAAATCATTTAAAAAAAAAAAAACACCTTATCTCCCTGGAAATTTCGATGAACTTGATGCATACAACATTCTAACCATTTTCCTCATTTCTAGTCCCAAAGACCAGGAAGTTGCTATGAAGTTGGCAAGTTGAACCATTTAAGTAACAAGAACGTTAATGGTGGAAATTGGGGATGATTATTCCTGCATTGTTTTTTTTCCGCGTCTTTTCCCCATTATTGCTTACCCAAGAAAATTGAACTCTCTAGATGTATATAAATGTGTCACGGCAGTTCCGTGTCATCCACACTCCCAATTCCATTAATTCCGCTGTGAATTTTTTCACATAGACACAACTATCTCTGCCACTAAAATCATCAATACACACTTGATGACAACATTTTTCTGTTCTTCCTCCTTTGTTTGTATAGAAATGGAGAAGACAGCGATAAAGCAGGTTAGGTCTGACTGTTGTTACTCTTTCATTATTATAGAGTCAAGATTCACTGCACCCTCTTCTTCAAAGAAAATAGAGAAGTCATCATCATCAGCAACCGACCAGATTCTACTGTGTGGAATCAACCTGTTACTTGTCATTCTTAACATGGTGATCTTACTGCAGGATTTCTTTTCAAGCTTTCATTGCATGGTAAGTATTTTCAAATCTTTCCTGCGAATCCCTTCTTGTACTTGGACTGCTTGGGCTGCAACCAGACGTCCAACTGAGAAATGTTGCAGCAACAGCAATAATATTGATGCAGCTGATCATCAGATTAAATCACCAAGAGATCAAACAGAAACCAAAGATCATCGAAATAATCTCACTTTGTTAGAATTGAAAAAGGTGATCCAAGGAGGAAGCTGCGAAATTCAAGAGAATGAAAGTACAGATAAAATTGCTGGGCTGTTCGCGGAAGAGGAGCCAAGCATAAAGGAAGTTAAAGAAGCTTTTGATGTGTTCGATGAGAACAAGGATGGGTTCATAGATGCAAAGGACTTAGGGAATGTCCTGTTTTTGTTAGGTTTCATGGAAGCTTCGGAAGAGGACTGCAAAAGAATGATCAAAAGCTTTGATGATAATTTAGATGGACGGATTGATTTTAATGAATTTATCAAAGTTATGGAGAGAAGCTTTAGCTGATATGATTTTCTTTTCTTTCCTTTTTTTTTAGAGTGTTCGGCTGATATGAATCAACCTCCAACATTCCATACTCTGTTTTGCGGTTTTAATAATATGTATTAGGCTTTGAATGAGTAGATTGAAACTATAATAAAAGATATTGTAACAGTGATTGAAAAAAATTTGTCGTAATTCCAATCAAAAAAATATTTTAATAAAAAATTTATATTGAATAATTTTATTTAAATTGATATTAAAATTTAATTGATGCGATGAATTTAATTATATTATATCAAAATGCATACGATCCAAACTTAACCTTAGTTGAATTTAATATTGGCCTTTTTATATTCTCTTTCTCGCCTTTTCCTTTTATTTGTTTGATTTTATATTTTAATTGTTTTTTAAATTTGAGAAATAAAGATTCGATATTTTTTTTTCAAAGGACAGAGGTGAATTCTATTGTAATTTTTTTAATTTTATAAATAAAATTAAGATATTAATATATATAATTTTTTAAAATTTTCTAATAATATGTGTTATTATATTAATCTTACTCATAAAATTTAAAAACTTCACTAATAAAAAAATAAAATAATTTCTCTTAAATAGATATGTATTGATATTATCCAACTTGATTAAGTAAAATTAAGATATTCTATTGAAGTAAAAAAACACTGCTTATTTTAATTTTAAGTAATGAAGTTAAGATTTTAGATTTAGTAATTGATGTATTAGTTAGTATAAATTCATAAAAATGAAAAAGAAAGAGTAATAAATAGTTTTAAAAATATTTAATTGACAATAACACCTTAGGATTACAGGATTTACAAATAAAATAATATTATTGATAAATTATTCAAAATTAAAATTCAATGATGTCAATTATATTTTTTTAAAAAAATTAATTACAACAATATTTTATTTTATGTATTTTTTATTTTAAATATAAGAGGGAAATTGGAAAAAAAATTATACGTGATGAAAATTATATTTCAATCTTATAGAAATTAACTTTATAAGAAAATTAGGTGAATTATTTGGGTTAAATTTCAAGTTATTTATTTATTTTCATCAATTAAAAATAATTATAAAATTATATCTATATTTTATAAATTAATAATAAAAATGATTAAATATTTAATTTTTAGTAGAATATTAAATAATTTTGTAGTATAGATTTAGTATTTAAATTTTTTAAAACTAAAAAGTCATATTTAAATTTTCAGTTTTGAATCTTCTCAATTTATTAAACAACCTTTTGATCATGAAAAAATAGAAAAAAAAAAAGAAAATATCAAAGAAAAAAGAAAAAAAAATGAAGAAAAGAGGACTGAAACTCTTTTGTTTATTTGTACGGATACATATTCATAGACAAATAAAATTTAAAGAGAAATATTTTTTAATCCGTAAGTTCTTTCCTAATTTTTTCTATCTTCCCAAATAAAAAAAATTATATATATATATATAATATTCAAGGATTTTATTTTCTTTTTCCTGGTATTTTCCATTAACCAAACAGGGGTGAAGATTATTTATTTTCTGTTCTCTCTGTTATTGACAGTTCCAGAGGATCTGGGTTCTTTATATTATTCCTTTGGCTTCAGGCCTCAAGGCTCAATCTGCCGTCTGCCAAACAGTAGGAGCTGCTGTATCAGTGAAAGACCCTTGCTGAAATTTGAAAGGTAATGCTTCAAACCCATTTTTTAGAAATCAAATTTCTTTGTTTATTGTTGTCTTAACTGTAATTGGGTTTTTAAAGATAATAATTCTGATCCAAATTCATAAAATTTTATACTATTAGCAACAATGAATCCCTTTTTTGGGTTCAAGTAAAGTTTCCCACTGTTTATCAAGGTGGGGGAAATAGAGAATCATAGGAATATTTATTGTATCTGTTTCTTGCAGGAGAAATAGGAACTCAACTTCTGCTTCTAAATGCTTATCCCTCAGACCAGAAACATTGGCCTTCCAATGATGAATCTTATGAGATTCAAAGGATTGCCCATCTTGCAGCAACTACATATAGAGGAGAAACTGCTTCGAACCACATCAGAAAATTGGTGCATCATCAATGATGGCACTAGTGATCCTGCCATTGTAATGGGCGTTTCAGGGTAAGGTATTTGGTTCTTTTATTTACCTGCATTTTCCTTCTTCTCTTTTTAAATTTATGCCCTGTAATTTGTTAAAGTTGATTCAGTTTAGTGCTGTAGTTTGTTGAATGGCCATTAATCATTAGCTAAACTTATGGTAAATATTAAATGGTAGCTTTCCAGTTTGGAACTAGCAATTACAACAAAGAGTATGACTCACTTGAATGACGAACAAATATACCATAACTTTTCAGATTCTTACCAAGCAAGAATGAGTGAATCCAATTTCGATTAACATCTAAATCTCATTTAGGAGTATCCATCAACCCTGGTTTTAGAAATTTGAAATTCAGTTCTGTATTCTAGCTATAACACTTCAATGGTAAACCCTTTATCTGTTTATGTGTTCTAATTAAAAGTAAGCAATTAGCAAAGTGGACGCTCTTTAAGAATGCTGTTAATTTGATATGTTCAAGAAGAGCATATCTTGGTTAAAATATATCTGGCTTTCTCAAAGTTCTTGACCTTGCAAACTATCTTGTGCTGTGATTTCTTCTGCTTATATTGGACATAAGTGATTCATATTGCTACATAAATATTCTTCATAGGAAACCTGCTGAACTTCTTGAAATTGGATCTGTATTACGCGATCAGGTTCCTGTCATAAGAAGGTTTACAGGGGGAGGTACTGTTATCGTTGACCATGGGACGATATTTGTCACTTTCATATGCAACAAAGAAGCAGTGCTTGACTTAAAGCCATTTCCTAGACAAATCATGTCTTGGAGCAGCTTATTATACAGCAAAGTTTTTCAAGGAATTGGTGATTTCCATCTTCGTGAAAATGGTAAATTAGATGATGTCTTAGTTATAAAATTGCTCTATTTTCACATTTGTATAATTTATATGCATAGGCCATGTTTGGCGCATAAGAGGATGGATAGGATACAATAATAATCATCCTATATTATGTTTGGTTTGTATTTAAAGAAAAGGATAGGATTGCAAGGAGAATTAGTCATCCTCTTGGCATAGGATGATTCAATCCTCTCAAAGTGGAGAGGATTATTTTTAATACATAGGATTGAACTTACATGTCTTATTATACCCTTAAATATTACATCAATAATTTAAATTGTATAAACTTTGACGAAAGATAATTTTGACCAATAAATAAAATAATCATATCCTAATCCTTGCACACATCAAACACAAGATAGTGTAACATTATTTAATCTAATCCTATTCATAATATCATCTTATCCTATCCTTTCATAATCTTGTACACCAAATACACCCAGCCTCTGATAAGATGATTTAGACAAGAACCAAGGTTCTAGACCCAGTATATGCTTTTCGGTAAACTGTTCTATATCATCCAATGATGATAAACAAAATGTTGGTTGAAGGTTTTACACCGGAACATTGTTTTAGAATTGATACTCAGCAGTAATTTTTGTTTATTCATTGGAGAATACATCCATGCTAATTAAATCAAATATCAGGAATGGCTCTCATCATGCACTAATCCCTGCACTCCATCTTAAGGAATGCATCACTGCATGAAGATGGATGAGTGAAACATGTTGAACAGTCTTGTTGCCATCTTTTACCTCTTATTCATGTTGCATAGACAATTGGAAATGTGCAAGTTCCCCATTGATGTTGAGCAGTCTTGTTGCCATCTTTTACCTCTTATTCTTGTTGCATAGACAATTGAAAATGTGCAAGTTCCCCATTGTTGTTGACATGAGCAAAATGTGAGTTCGATGCCCATGCCTTTGTTTGATGTCCTGGATTGGCATGTGCAAAAGCTCCTCTACGTTCTTTTGTTTCTTTCTTCTTAATCCCATGAAGAAAAGAGAAGTATTTTTTGCTGAATATCCTATGAATGATTGAATTTCATCTTTGAAAAGAAAAGGAGTTAAAAAAGCTGAGCTACATTCTCAACCACTTAGAAGGCCACCTCGATTGTTCTAGTTCTACCATGGTTCATATTTTGAAAATAGTAACTACGTTAAAGTCAGCTAGTACGGCTTCTATCAATGGCGTAGTATCAATTAATTACCCTGAAATTTGTATTCAATTCTGCATCTGTGCTGAGGCGTATGTCTTGTATCTCACTCTTGTTTTGGGACTGCTCAAAGACTTGCATCATGACACAGGAAGTTTGCATTCTTTAATGGTAAATTTTGTGCTGTCTTATTTTAGATTATGTATTTGGTAACCACAAGTTTGGTGGAAATGCACAATCCATTACAAAGAGTAGGTGGATCCACCACACGTCATTTTTATGGGACTTCGAGGTCAGGAACATGACTTACCTGAAACTTCCTAAACGAGCTCCTGAATATCGATTGGTAAGCTGTCAGTTTTTCAGCTTATTTTTTCTTGGTTGTTCATGTACTTAATTCAAAGCTTTGTCAGAAGAGATAGTTCTGAAGAATTTCCTTGTTACCTAGGCTTAGTGTAGCTCTATCTTGATGAAACTTTTGAAAAAGAGTACTTTTTCTCCTATAGGGAAGAATCTTTGTAGGAAAAAACTAAGATGTGCATAAAACTTATGTGTCCTTAGAGGCAGTAGATACTTGCCATGTTGAGATTCACATGAGCTTCCCTGAGGTAAATATCTTATTGAACATGTTTGGCATCTCTGGACTGCAGTACTTAAATAAAATTATATATTCAAAGCTTGTCTCAGCATGTGTATGTGATGTGTCTTCTTTCTCTCACCTGTATTAACTTCCCAGACGATTCCCATATGCGATGTCTCGCAATATGAATATTGAAATTGTATCCAAACGGATATTTGAGACTAATGGCTGAGTTGTTGTCACACCAATTCAGTCTCCCTTCTTAAAATTTTTTCAACGAGTTGAACACTTATCCAACTCAGTGATATTTCTCCTACTGTTTCTCTTGCACTTCGGATTCTTAATTTGTATGTTAAAAACTTCTTTTCTGTCTTCTCTCCTACCTTATTCCCCTACTCTACTACAATCTTTTAGCTTCTGTTGCTTTTGATTCTTTTATTCATTTTAAAGAAAAATGCTAAATGTGCCAATCTTTACCAAACAGCGTGTGTGCCATTTGGGCTAGTGATAATTAAGCCGAATGTTTTCTGTTTAGGCAAGGGGCCATTTGGACTTCATATGCCGTATGAAGGATTACATGCCAAGATCAACTTTCATTAACAAAACTGTGGAGGCAACTGGAACCCAATTTTCATTGAGGTCTATTATGTCGGAAGAGATTGAAAGTTGCTCCGAAACAGAATTCTATCCTTCAACCAGGCTGCTAACAGATAAGGAATTGGAGGCAGCAGCTGTTGCAGGGCAATAACCTTGGGTTCCCTGAGGAATCAGGTTCTATTGCTCCACAATTGTGGCTTTGCAGAAGGAAGCATTTGACTGTCTGCTTAATTTTATTGGGATTATGATGATTCATAAGGTGGACAATCCAATTCCGATCATTCCGGCTCTTTTTTCTTGTGGCATAAGATGGTTGAACCGAATAGAATAAAACTAAATGAAAGCTGGATAAGAATAATCATATTTTACTGCCTGCAAAGTGGAATTTTATCAATTAACGATCGTGTTTACCAATCTCAGTCATGGCAGTGAACGGCATCAAAGGAAATATGTTCCCTTGAAAATGGACACTAACAACTTTTGAGGAATCTTCTTTCACAATGATTTTGAAGGAGTCTCTAATGCTAAAGGGGAAAGTTGTAGTCTCAAATGCCAAAAAAATCAACTCTAAATGGACGGCAATGAGATTCTGATGTAGTACTTAATTATGCAGTACTTCGTGGGAATTTACTAATGGGAAATCCTGGCTGAATCCTTCTGAATTTGGCCTGTAATGTTCCCCATGGATATCTTTTGCTAAGGTGTAAGCTTGACAGCCACATGTCATGCCAATATAGGATGTAAAGGATCCCACGTGGCAGAAAATCTTCCTATGTAAGCCAAAATGGGACCCAGTTGATCTTTTCTCAAGCAACAGCAACGCAGAAAGAGATTTGTGGATATGGCACCTAGATAAAGGGTTAAGCCTCAAATCACCTCAACCGTTGGATCCACAAAAATTAAACAACCCAACCATCAGCTTCCAAAGCTTAATGACAACCACATGAATGCCCATGAAACTGAAATACAAAGCTTAAGCCATGCACTAAAACATTTACATTCCCTTGCCTTGTACACTGCTAATACTGCCCCTGCTCCCCTTGCTCCACATCCATTTTTCAGCCGAAAAGTCATGGCTACCGTCACAACACAAGCCTCTGCTGCCGTTTTCCAGCCATGCACATCGAGAACTAGGTTTCTTACAGGGTCTTCTGGTAAGTTAAACAGAGATGTTTGCTTTAAACCAATGGCTTCTAAATCATCAAGCTCATTCAAAGTTGAAGCCAAGCAAGGGGAGTGGTTGCCAGGTCTGCCTTGACCGGCTTACCTCAATGGCAGGTACATTCTTTTAATTATCTAGCTAGAATGATTAGTTTGAATATATATGATTATGAACTTACGCTGTATAGACTTGCAGTCTTCCAGGTGACAATGGTCTTGATCCTCTTGGACTGGCTGAGGACCCCGAGAACTTGAAATGGTATATGCAAGCTGAGCTTGTTAACGGGCGTTGGGCTATGTTGGGTGTTGCAGGGATGCTTTTGCCTGAAGTTTTCACTAAGATTGGGATAATCAATGCTCCTCAATGGTATGATGCCGGGAAAGCGGAATACTTTGCATCCTCATCAACCCTCTTCGTTATTGAGTTCATTTTGTTCCATTATGTGGAGATCAGAAGATGGCAAGACAAAAAGAACCGAGGATGTGTGAACCAAGACCCCATCTTCAAGCAATACAGCTTGCCTCCAAATGAATGTGGATACCTTGGTGGCATTTTCAACCCCCTCAACTTTGCACCTACCCTTGAGGCCAAGGAAAAGGAGCTTGCCAATGGTATGCAATAATTGATATACCCCAAGAGTCTGGTTTATTTTGTTGTGAAAATATTTGTATTTTTAAGTTGGCTAAGCTTGTGTCGTTTGAATGTGCAGGGAGATTGGCAATGTTGGCATTCTAGGGATTTGTTGTTCAACGCAACGTGACTGGCAAAGGACCTTTCGAGAACCTGTTGCAGCACCTCTCAGACCCATGGCACAACACCATCATCAACATAATCAGAGGTTACTAAATTGATTTGAAGTAGAGTTGTAGATCAATGTTCCATTGTTTTGTAAACTCTAGTGAATGCTTTTTGAATAAATTTAAGCATATTCAATGTAAACAAGGAACCTTCAATGTACAGGGGAACTTCAGATCGCATCTACATATTATCATTATTACTTATAATAACTTCATCACAAATTAGAGATGACTTAATTATACATGTTAAAGAAATTAGAGCAGTAGCCAACGGGATTCATGATTGAATTGGTAAAATTAGAATGGGAAAAATCTCCTCTCATTCTAAACTTTTATTTATAAATAAAAAAAAGAATAGTAGATACAAACAACAAAATAACAATCTCTCGGAAGACCATGATTTGAATTGAAACTAATAATACTAATAGTCAAGGTGATTTTCTACAGGAGTATTGTACGCGTACAACTTGGGGGATTGGGAAGTATTTTCAAAACCCATCCCCCTGAAAACGAAAAAGGAAAAAAGAAAAAGAGTTGATAGACAGAAGGTGGTAATCCTGCATGAGTTACACAGTTTGTAGACATATACAAGAAACATGTTCAGCAGAAAAAAATTGACCAGATGATAATAGTCCTCTTGAGCAGGGCTTCATGAGCTGCATGTTTCACCTATTAATTCCATTATTGGACCAATTCCATCACACGAAATGGCCACAATCAGGAAATGGTCAGATTCTGATGCACATTTGTGCGTCCTTCAGGTACAAATTATGACATTGACCAGATGGAGGTGTCTGATAAAGTCGATTTAGTTTGCTGCAATAAACAGCCATCAGAATAACTGACTTTGCAGGCAGATTCAATTCCTTAAAGACAATAAACTAGAAGTAGCATTGGAGAGAACAGAAACTAGATACAGTAAACAAAACAAAATTGAGTATATGAGCAGAATTTACTCAAAGCCATTTATTTCATGTCCTGAAAAGAATATCATAATTTTATTGAAGCGAATCAACCTGTGAATGTAATACATCAAGATTCAACCCATGTGACAGGAGAACCTAAATGGGATTTGAGATGGCTCTTCACTAAAAGGGTCAGTCTCAATAACCAAAAGTTTGATAGATTAGCTCATCAGGAACCAAAAATCAATGACATCCAATTCTATGTTATTTTGCAATAACAATAAAATTTAATTCAACAACTACAGTAATCTTAGCTCACCACAATAGCTCATCTATATTAACACATTAGCTTGTAACTTATGTACATTTCAGAAGTTAGGGGCTGCATAAACAGTTAGCCATCTTTGTGTACTTGAATCCAATAGTACCATTACAGCAGTGTAGACTATTTCGGTCTGTCTAACATACAAGATAATCTAGCAGCGTTTCTTTAATTGGTGGCAAAGGCAAATAATCAGAATGTTAAAATCATTGGCTGATGGTACCTTAGGCAGGTATGCAGATTACAATCTAAGACAAAAACTTTCACTATACAAAGTGAAGCCGATACAAAATATTTGTTGGACAAATAGATTTTATCCCTTTCAATGGCTATTCATCATCTAAAATTGTGACATGATTAAACTGTTTAACCTGGCACCACTACATGCATGGAATATAAAATAACCCACAAACTTATATCCTAGAATTAAGGATAGAAAAAGACAAAGAAATCCTCACCTGATGGTAAGAATTCCCATCAAACATCGTAATGCCACAAGGGCCAGAAGAAGATACTCATGCTTGATGCCCACTATTATACATAGGTCTAGGGATTTCAAAGTTACTAATAACTTGGTAAATCGCAGGATTTTCTTGTAAGTTCACCTCCATCTCTGGCCTCAACTTCTCATTATCTAGCAAATTTGATGCAACATACGGCGGGTACAAATATTGTTCACCAAGTTGTAAATTCATCCAAGCATTACTCCCTAACTCATTTAGGGCATTATTTTCCTGTACCACATTATCAACTTGTCCTGAATTGCCAATCTCTGTTTGTTTACCAGAGCCAAAGTAGCCAGAAGAGCATGCAAGGGAACCATTTACAGAGCACTCTGTATCTCTGGAGCAAAAGAAACTAGTCAGCCAATGGCAATGAGAAACACCAAAAAATCACAATGCAATTTATATGCTACATATCTGATAAAAGATCTGAGCTAAGAACAACCATGTGTCTGCTGGTAGGCAATGAGACTCAAGGTTATTTTCAAGTAGAAATTTATATTCATAAAGCTGAATATCCCAGAAGACTAACAGGAATTGCATTTGAAGCTATATATCCATAACAGTCTTACCGATGAGGTAGAAATTTTGGTTCATTATGCAATAACATTTGTTGATTTTCATTGTTGGGAAGCCATGTAATGGGTTGGGCTTCTTGCACCCCACCAATCATTATAGGCATAGGTATCCCATTCTGAAACTGTAAGCCAGAGTAAGTCATAAGATATTTCTCCCAAATAGGAGGGGGAGAGAGAGAGAGAGAGAGAGAGAGTAAATACTCTTACCACCTGGTTGGCGCATTCTAAAGACATAAGATGATGCTTTCCAAAATTTCCCTGCCAAGAAAGTTGCGGGCATAAGTAAGTAATTTATAGGTGTACATATGGCTCAGATTCTATTAAATTGGTAAATCAGTTAGCATTCTTTATTAATATCTATCAAGAGGCTAACAAACCAAGCAGTTTTCATCAGGAGTCTGGTATAGGTAACCTTTGATGCAGTTAAACAACATTATCTTCTGAACCAAGTAAACACATGCAATATCTTGATTATATTTTATATATCTATGCATGTGAGTAAGTGCGTATATTTATTGTGCCCCTAACTTTGAAAGATAATGTACAAAAGCAGTGCATAGAGGTCATTTTTACTGGAAGAAAGAACCATACCTTGTGTATCCGGATACGCTCAATGGATTCCCTTAGTGAATCTTCCATCTGCGTAAGATGTTCTATGTTGTCAATTTTATCTGGATTACTCCAGTAGCTGAAATCATTGCGTGCTAATATCAGAATTACTCCATAAAAGCAAATAAATCATAATCTTGCTATCAATAATATGTATTTTTGTTAATGCACATGTGAATGTCCAAACTATGCAGGTAAAGACAAACAGTTAAGAAGGAACAAGGCCAAAATAAAGGAGAGTGGCAGAATGCAGATAAAGAACAAGTAAATCAACATTTAATCACTATCATCCACAAGATAAAGGCCAGCTATCTTTTGACAGCACTTACATAGGTTGAGTTGTGGCAAAAACAACATGCTGAATAAGGTTTCTAGAATCAGATGGACTATTATTTTCAGGCAGTTATGTGATAATAAAAAATTTTAAATCTGGACTATTCTATTTCTGGATGATCTAGCCTTAACCAACAAGGAAATCCCTTGGCTATAAGTTTCCCATTATAACAACCAAGATAATACATAGCAACATTAAACGTATGAATGTCGTTCATTCCCACTCTATCTTAATTCCATTCAAATTACTATAAGCTTGCCACTTATAATCCTAATGTAGCATTAATATTGAAAACTTTCACAATGGTTTGACCATGCATCTTGTATTTTCTGTCCTAGGAGAAACATTAACCTAAACACCCAACAAAAAGAAGAATTTAGTTAGGGTCTAAAGCTTTATATAGGGGATGGTATTATGGACAAAGGTTGCAATTCTTGCACTGCATTGGTTTTATTACTAGAGTTTAAAAATATGAGAGCCTGTGAGGCTCTAATATTTATACTTCAGCTCCAAAAGCCATGACGGTAAAAGAGAAGGAGAAGCTACTTATGAAATGAAAAACAAAGATGCTTTTCTATAATACGATAACTAAAAATACTTAGCTGTGATTGTCTTCTCATTCTAACATTTTACAAACAAGACCAAAAGAAAAAACCAATACTTCAACAACCAAAAGCTCCAAAGGTGCACCTCAGTCTCTTATGTACTTCAGTAAGGTGAGCTTCCAACATTGATACTTCATTGGTCATTTCCTGAAATAGCAGTGTCCCAGAAACATGAAAAAATTAACAATAACTCAAAAATCAAAGATCAAAATGAACACAGTTAGTGTCAGCTAACTTCATACCTCAACAGATTGACTGCTGCAAGGGGCATAAAAAGAATTTAGATTCTTCCCAATTTTTTACATAAAACAGAAACATATTATCTGGAAGAAAATGAAATAAAGGTTACATACGTTGCACCTAGAAAGTTCTGTATGTTTACATCATGATCCAACTTTTGAAAGGTTTTCTTCAGTGCCTATATTCTCAACAACAATACCCAAAATTAGCATGATGAAAGAGTAATAATGCTTTACTCTTCACTTGGTGAGGAAGGAAGCAGAACATATCAAAGAATATGAGTTACAAGGAGTCTTACTTCAAGGCTCTCCAGCTTCCTGTTGCGGACCAATGAAAATCAGTTAGCTACAATGCCATTTGAATACGAATAGAATATTCAATGAAAGAAATTAAAATTTCAGAGTGCACACCTTTTTGCCCTTTCTTGTGGCGTTAATTGTGCGAATTTTTCAATAACCTCTTCAATATTGCTGGAGAAAGCAAGAAAGCAAACAAGCAAAGTGAGCCCCATTTGTTACCTTACTCTATTTCTGCTTCAAACATGTTATCCTTCTAATGGCCTCTGTTATACACATACATAACTAACAGCATAAATATATGATCATATAGATGGTCATATACCAGTGCTATTCTAAAGTGCTAGATATGTGCCTGACACAGTGTTATTATGTAAGTAAAGAATCACTGTAACATAGATCCTAATACATACTTGTATAATGTTGAAAAAAAAAATTCCAAATACAGCACAAATCCAGAGATCAAATTGGCCAACAATACGTCATTAAAATCCTAGCCCACCAAGCTTACTAACTAATCTGAGGAATTATCAAAATTGTCTAAGAATAAAAATGCAAGGGACACCTGCACAAGAATTTGTATCTTTATCCGCAGTTAATATAAACATCATAAAAAAAAAAAAAACAATCTATGGCAACATGAAGAATAACTCTCTTGTGAAACATAAAATTAGGCCCTCCAAGAAATTAAACCACAAGTCCATTCATACAATACCTGCGCTCTCCAAGGAATAGAGTAGGCTTTCCAGTTGGAGAAAACATGAGAAGGATAATATGAATGTCACATAATATTGACAATTCCTTAGCTTTCTTCAAGATTCCAGTTCTGCGTTTCGAATATGTAACTTGCCTGTTGCTATAGCCCTCTAACCTTTTTATTTTTAGTTTAACCCTTCCCATCCTGCAAACTCACAAGGAAATCGCAGGTCATTTTCTTAACCCAAATTTTCATTCTAAGTTCAAAAATCTCAATATTTACTCACTTTAATCAAGCAAAGATAAAGTTGTGCAAGTGGAGCTCTCATCCCAGGCACCAACATTAAATAACCTTATGATCTTCAATAGAATTCCAAATACAAATTCTCAAAATAGAAAAATTAACCGAAGCTTCAATAGAAAAAGAATGAAACGTCAAAAAGAAATGGCATTTGTTGACTCCCATGGCCATGATCATGTTTCCTTTCCCACACAAGCAGCACATCTTATCAAGTAACAATTAAGTTTTTAAGGTAAATATGATTAAAGTTCAAAAACCCAGAAAGGAAATGACCATAGAATTACAAAAAAAAAAAATGTTGACACCCAAATGAGAGAAAACTAAAATATTTTCTCTTTGTCCGTAGGAAAAGGAAAAGCCTTTAGCAGGCAAAATGGAAAAAAAGACAGTTTATTTTTAAAAAAAAACCCAATTTACAGAAATGAAGTATACGCAGGTGAGAAAATCATTGAGGCATAAAAAGGAATAAAATTTGTGATGAATTCATTCAGAGAGAAAAAGAACTCATTCTTACAGTGAAGCTAAAAGGGAAAACATAAAAGAAGAAAAGGAAAAGAAATTTTTTTTTTAAAAAGGAGAGCTTACAAAGAAGAAGGAGGGGGCCAGGCTGTGATTTCGGTGGATAGAAGGAGCGGGACCAACACACACAAGTTTCTTCAGGGAGAGGAGACACGATGGAGAGAGCCAGGCAAATGAATGGTGAAATGTTCACTATACTCTAAGAAAACTAATATAAAGTCTAAAAAAATAAAAACTTTTCCTTTTATTTTTTTTTATTTTTTGAAAGAAATACAATTTCTTTTTTTTTTTTCTTTTGTAAAAAAAATTCTATCATCCATGTATTCCTTTCATGAGTCCAGTTGAATTAAAACAAATTCAGTTGATATATGTAAATTTTTGTTTAAAATTGGGTTTGTTTATATTTGGTATTATTTAAAATATTATTAAAATGTTAAAAAATTATATTTGTACTTTAAATATTTTAAAATATATTTTAAGATTTAATTTAAGTAAAATAATTTTATTGATAAATTAATACTTGGGATTTGCAAAATCTAATTTAAGTCTCCGATCGAATCAGGCCTTGACAAGTGCTCAAGTCCACTCTTGAAGTGGAAAAAATTATATTAGCTCCTCCTGTTTCGATCCAAAGCCATTTTTAAAATGGTTCCAGATTAAAAACATGTGTTCTTTTTATTTGAATTTAAATGTATTCAAAGGTTATGAAAAAATAAGGTTAAAGGATGGTTCTCTTGGATGTTTATCCCACATTAATCTCACCATGTTTGAATGAAATTTCCAGGCGAGCTGTTTTAATCAAATAGAAAACCGCTACACATTTTATTCGCCAAAGAGTAGTCTCACAACTCCACAGACTCATCCGCCAAGAGATGGGCTAGCTGATTACAGTTGCTTCACATAAAAGCGATATTGCAGCAAATGAAAGAACTTTAATATAATTTATTTAAACCATCAAATCATTGCAACAAACAAAAAAAAAAAAAGGCGTGTGGTGCATGCTCACCACTGCCAATTTCTGTCTCTCTGCCTTTGTCAAAAGAGAGCAGAACAAAAACCAAAGTTCAATGACGAGGGCCATCATAAAACTAAAACCCTTCTCATTATTTTGACTACTCTATTCCTAAAAACACTATCAAACTATCCATGACTCATTTATTTTTATCCAGGAAATCTGTAATGGGTTTATCCTCTGAACGTGAGAATTGCAAATGGAGCGGTTTTGGAGTGGAGAGTGAGAAGGAAAAAGGGTAATTTTTTTATGGGAATTGTTAGCCAGTAAAGGTCTGGCCAAAGGACCAATTAGGAGGAACAACATTGTTAGAGACAAGAGTGCGTCCATCACTGGTTGTGACCTTAAAAGAGAGGCTTTGTCCATTGAGGTAAGTGTTGCTCTGCCAGTTTTGACCCCAGTTTCTTGACATGGGTTGCCAACCAGTTCTTGACCCTTTGATGGAAACTGAATGAACATCGCCCGCACCTCCCACGTTGGTGATTAGGACTAGGTTGAAATACGAATGACCGTTGATCGTGAATCTGATGCCTCCTCTCTTTCTGCATGGTACCCTATAGGAATCACACAATACCAACTCTTATCAATCCAAATTAATTAAGATCAAATCCAACTATAATTAAAGATACATACCTTCTATACGCTACAGGAACAATCCCAGCTCTATATTGGGCAATTTGTTGGAAAACAGGCTGAGACAGATCAAAATGATGCAGAGGAGGGTTGCACCAACCCCCAGCATTGTTTGGTGGACAGAAGTTAGTGGCAGTGACCACAACAGAGCCAGACAGGCACCACCTAGGATCATTCACGCACTTGATCTCGAAACAAGCCCCACAGCTCAAGCCATTGTTAAACAGTGCTGTGCTCAAAGCTGCTGTATTAGTCCCGTACCCTTGGCTGTATAGGTTCCCATATCCACAAGCCCCGCCTTCAAGATGGTCAAAACAATTGGTTATAGAATTTACCAAAACATTATGGAAAAGAAAAAACTCAGATAAAGAAAAACAGAGAGAAAGGAGAGAAAATTAAAATTTGTTACATACCCATTGTACCAGAGGCAACACTCCCTCCATAAAAAGTGGCATGAGCATGAATCCATCCCCCACCATATCCATAAGCATGTGAAAACAGAGGAAGCAATCCCATTAAAACTAGACCAAGAAGTGCCATTTCCCTGCTTAGACACTAATAAATGAAGCACATATATAAAAGACACCTTTTTTGTGTACGTGCAAGAGATATAAAGCAAAGGGAAGGTAGTGAATGAGGAAGCGAGAAGTGTGGGAGTGAGGCGGGGGATATATAGAAGATGTTTGAGAAAGGATAAGTGTTGCCTTGAGGAACATCACACCAACTAGCTAACCGACACTAATTGAACTGTGTGCGGTACCTTTCAAACCGCCAGGTGCAAGCGGTTTCTTACCCTGTGGAACCAAGGGAGCTTTCCATTGAAACAACGTGGTTTTGTGCTTTCCCTCCCGTGTGTTTTAGCTCTTATATTTCTTTTTAGACTGTGCCATCTAGATTCAAATTCCCAAGTTTAAGTTATTAGGATGAAAAAGAATGGTAGTTTTGCTCTCTGCTGTTTAAACTGTCTAGTACAAGCAGGCAGCTACTTTTTTACTGCATTTGCAATTAACCGCCTCTTGCTTTTCGTCCCTTTGTAATTAAAAAAGACAATGCTGATTAGTACCTTAAAGGAGGCTTCTTGTTAAGCGATAATCTTACACAAATATTTCTCATACATTACTTAGTTATGTTTAGATGGTATATATCTGATCAATTCAATTCAGTAATTGAATATGAATATTGTGATTTTTTTCAGACATGGGATTTTCTTTTTTACAAACTACAAAGTAATTTGGATGATAGAAGAAAAGATTATAAATATTAAAATTTAAATTTTTTATTGAATATCATCTCTCAAACGTAATTATATAAATTAATTTAAATCTTAACAAGTATCATTAACAATATTTTTAATTAGTATGAGTCTTGTAAAACAAGTAAAGAATGAGATATTAATAGTTGTAATTATATTTAATAATATTAAATACAATAAAAAAATAAAATAAATAAAAAACATAAAATTAATACGACTTAAAATTTAAAATAAAATCATAAAATAAAATTAAAAATATATATTTTATATTTTCATGTCGACATAAATTATAATATATAATTTTTATATAAAATATTATATATTATATAAATTATTAATATTTTATATAATATAAATACATAAATTATAATATTTAATTGTAATACTCTTCCTTTTAAGACGAGACATATCCCAAAGGCTACTTAACAACAAATATCGAAAGACAAAGTGGGGCCGTTAGACAATTTGCAGATAATAAACCCATCTTAAAGGTAAGATGATGTAGATTGTAGAATGTTCTAGCCTCATCTCACCCCTACTTCTTGTTGATGCTAGCACTAGCTAGTCTTATGATTGTAGCCTTTGATTCCAATCTCATTTGCATTGGAGCTTAAGAGCTATCTCTTTATAATTTTATTATAGGAAAAAAAATTACATGAAATGATTACACATCAATGAACTCCATTTCTATCTAAATTTTGAATATTAATTTCTATTTAACTTGTCATATGTTTAAAAAGCGTGTTGCAAAAATTGAAAATATGTTATTTATAATCATTATATAATAATTCACTCATCATAATTAAAATTTATCAAAATTTTATATGAAGCTCGTATTTATAAGTGATAGATATTTATATATTTTTTAATTAATAATTAAATAATTATAAAATTATAATAAAAAAAGACTTATAAAAGTAAAATACTCCCGTAACAATCAAAGAAAAAAGACAAGTTCCGGAAAGTAAGTATGTAAGAAGTGCATGCACTTCACTTCCTGTCAGTACCCTGCTATTTTAAAACTATAGCTAACAGGAGTCTGGTTGATAGCAGTTAAAAACGAGAAAATGACAAGAACTAATAAAGTGCTATGGTGGAAGCATAGAACAATCGTCTTACCTTTTAATCTGTAAAGAAACGACCAATTTCTGTCTCTTTCCTTTCCCTATTTATAATTTTTAAGATGAATCCAGTGGCCTCCGCTTACGGTTTCAACAAATGTCTCAAGTTAAAGTTAAAAGTCAGCACCAGCTTTTATAGCTAATTATAGTTGTCATTTTATTTGCATAGGAAACTTAAACGCAGGCCATTTTTTATATGTGAGATTATTAAGGATTAAAAATTTATAATTAAAATTAAATATGATAATTTGAATATTAATAATTAATATTTTATATTTTATATTTATATTATTTTTATATTATATCATTGTGTCATGTTTATAATTATTAAATATAACTGAAATTATAATTTTATTTGATAAAAAGGATGAAAAGTATTAAATATGAAAATTTTATTAATCAAATAATAAAAGTTCATGAATACTTTGCTACTTTGTATATTAATTATTAAATTAATAAATTTTTTATTTTTTCTATCAAGTAAAGCTTATTGCAAAATTATTAATCAAATGATTAAAAATTCAGCACTCTATCAATGTATGCTTAGGATGGAAAGAACTAGAAAAATCAAGTCTGCTACGAATGCATGGATTGGTTGAATTGTTAGGGAAAAAAGCATTTAATTTGCAGGGTGCAAGTCAATGGTTTGGATAAGCTTATTGTCTAAAGCATGTTGGAAACGGAATTTGTTGAATCCTATCATTCTTGTAGTATAGCCGTCTATAAGGACTTGAAAAAACGTGTGGCAGAAATGTGAAAATTTGAGCAAGACAAACCAAAATCCCCTGTAGCAGACAAATAGGGGATAGAGTGAGGCTGCACCTGCACATGGGTGAAGTGTCGGTGATGTATGTTGATTAAAAGGCGGTTACATTGGGAGGACCACAACTTCATTTATTGTTATATATCTTGCATTTATTCAATCTTAGCCAAAACTGTACTTCAAAAGCCGAATGATTTCTCACCTCTCAAATCTGTTTGGCAGGAGGGAAAATTGATAATCAACGAATAAAAAATCGAAGGCAACTATGGATTCAATGATAGTAATAGTACTGGTAGTTGACTTTTGACCTCCCCACCGCGGTTCATGATCGTCCATATTAGAGCGAACACTTGAAATCTAAAATTATTGTTTTTGATAAATTTGAATTTAAAAAAAAAAATCCAAGATACGTAATGGTGTTATTTTTTAAATATTTTTTTATTTTTATCGTATTATTTACTTAATAAATGTATAAAAATTATAAGTAATAAATATAAAATCTAATTATATTTTATATTAATAAAATTAATTCATTAAGTATTCATCTACGTATTACAAAATCATTAAATTTTTATAAAAATTTTTTGTAGCAAAATTTTTATAAAATAACTCTGAAATTAGAAAAAAAAATTTCAAGAATCATTTTTATATATTTACAAAAAATCAAAAAAAAATTTTATAAACAGGTAAATATTTTTTTACATATATAATTATTTATTTTAAATAAATAAAAATTATATATTCTTAAATATTTAAAATTATTTATTTTAAACATATTTATCTTTTTATTTTGAATAAACTTAATTATTTATATTTATTTTTTTAATATAAAATTATTTCTCATATTTTATTTCTCAGCACTACTCGGTCGCTTCGTTCTAGGCTTCATTGTTTCTTATTCGTTGTTCAATTCGTTCTATTATGAATTCATCATATTTTCACAGGCATTACCTTTCACCAGCAGCAACAGAACATAATAGCATTGCTGTAAAATTTTCCCTGAGTTGTTATAAACCTTGAATAATAGCTGAACTGAACAGTAGAAAGATTAAACCCTTGAGCCGCATAGGGTCAGCTCTATGCAACGGCGGATCTAAAATTTTTTTTTGAAATATTTATTTATAATGTATAAAATATTGTTAACGTATTTATCAATTTAAAATCCGAAAGAATGTTAAAAAAAAATTTTGAAAATTTTTTTTTTTATAATTTGAGAATGTCCATGAACACTTTATAACAGTTTATTTCAAAACATGGATCCGCTTGGGACTTCATGACCAAATTCATCTACTCAATGACCAAAAGTAACATTTTGCATATATAATTTAAAAAGAAAAATAAAAGAAGAAAAGAGTATGAAAATGAGGATGGAACTGGAAGAAGAAAAAAAATTAAATGGGGTGGAGTGGATGCTGCCGGTTGCCAATTGCACGTACATAGCTCATTAGAGCAACTTGAAGTGGATTGATTGTAGGATCGCACGTAGATTGCCCTTAGCTGTCGGCCGTTGTTTTTTTCCGATCCTTGAAAACACCCATTTTATTATTAGCTTTGTCTTATGCCCCACCACCGTTTCGTTTCTTTCAACTGAAATAAGAAGCAAAAAAAAACCTGAAAAAGCTAGCCCTGTTTAAAACCCGGATCAATGCAAAGAGACCTGAAAATCGTAACCATCAACTTTCACCTCTCTCTGTGCAAAGGAAAGGGAAGGCAGTATTTTCATGTAGTCATGTTTCTGAAAACTGAAATCGGACGGCAGAATCTTTTTCTTTTTACTGTAGTTATCATAAACATTATTAATTTCGCCATTTTTTGCTTGATTAATGATTGAGATGAATGAAATGTAATAGAATTGTTGATATTGATTCAAATATCATAAAAAATTTATTTAAAATTAATTATATATTATTTAATAAATAAAAAGATCTACAACAAAAAAAATTAAAATTTTTTTGATAAATTAGTTAATATGCTTATATATAAATAGAGTTTTTATCGAATTATATATAAAAAAATATAAAAAAATTGAAATAATTTTTACAGGTATGTATGTTTAAGTAAATTAGAAAAAAAATGAAAAATTTATAATACATATGATGATTTTTATATGTACGTATGTTTGAGTAAATTAAAAGAAAATAAAAAATATAATGCATGAATATATATATATATATTTAGATTAAAATATTTTATAAAATTAAAAGAGAATAAGAGAGTAATATTGATTATGAGTGTTTTTTTCATTCGTAATTTAATGTTTGTTTGATATTGATTATAATTTTTAATGCTTGTTTATATTTTTTTATAATTAATGATTTTTTTATTAGTAAATATAAATAAATTAAATTATTTAAATTATTATCTCTTATAATTATTTATTTGATTTTATCTATCGTTATCTTAAATAATTAATTATTAAACTTTTTACCTAACAATTAAAAAGAATTCATCTTTGACTTGTTTATCATGAGAATCTGAAGTGACTTCTAGAAGCCAACTCAATGCCGGAAAGTTTGATCTCAAATCCTTTTTCCCATTACCGAATTTGAGGCTGCAGGTTGATCCTTGACAAAGACAAAAGTGATTAGATTGAATAATCACCGAACAAAGAAAAGTGATGATAAGATTTGAACAACCGCTCTCCTACATGTCAACAGATAAAAATGGTTTCACTTTCAGAGAATCTAGAAAATAACATCGTGGCTAGCTCATACTCATAGTAACAAGTATGGGGCTCAAAGGAATTAATGTTTCTTGATCAGTTGCAATTGC